ATATAAAAAATTAAACAATTTATATTTTGAAATGAAGTGAATACCTTTTTTCTTTTTTCATTTTAGGGAATGTATATTGAGTCTCTTGATGCAACTCCCCATCCACTCCCACTTGTATATTATTTTATTCAACTCATTATTTTTTTTGGTGCATCTGATAATAATGAGTTATATTTTTTTTTAATTTTTTTTCCATTTAACTCAAGATTCGAACTTGAGATCTTTAATTTAGAATTTTGAGTTCTTAATTATTAAGTTACCCATTTAGGGTTAAGTCATTATTAAAATACTTTCCACTCCACTATTAAAAAATATCTTACAAGAAACTCCTTAAAAGTTGTAGCAATATCATTTTAGGGTTTTTTTAAGATGCATATTAAGAATGTAATTAATACATTTTTTTCATTAATTGATATTGAAAATGACAAAAATTAACATTAATTTCATTACTAATGCCATATAAATCATTTTCATTGAACAAGTAATTAAACAAAATCAATTTTTTTAATAACAATTAATATTAAAAAAATACTCTTAATCTATATTCTAAAGGCATATGGTAAAAAAATTATTTTATTCGGTTTACTAAAGCAAACAAAAGAAAGAAGATCCCCTAACCCCACATCGACCCCGCATTTTTTTTATAAAAAAAAATAAAGGAAAAGAAAAAGAAAAGAAAAGATGAAGAAAAAGAAACGATCTCTTAATGGGTTGGAGATTAATGGTTAAATATCTAATTTGGTCCCTCAACTTTTATTTTTAAACCAAATTTATTCTTGAACTTTAAAAAGTGTTAAAAGTATCTTCAAATTTTAATTTTTAGTACTAATTTAGTCCTCTCGTTAGTTAAGTGTTGATGTGTCATTTTTCTTTGTTAACTAAACTTTAAATTTAAATTTAAATGCTAACATGGCAAATAAAAGCACAAAGTAGGTTTATTGGGGAAAAAAAAAGATGAGATGTATAGTTAGAACTCATTTGAACAAATTAAAATAATAATCTCATAAAAATTAAAACTCATTCTCCCCTAGACTCTGAATGACCAGAAAACTTGGTTTTTTGTTTTTTGGCCGCACCGGAGCTTGGTTGACAAGTCACAACCATATGGTG